GATCCAGGGTCCATATCATACCCTTGGGTATCCACAGTTAAGGTAAGGGTCTTTAAGACTCCGGGTTCGGATAACAACACTAAGAAGTTTGGGTAACAATTAAAATAAATTGACCCCTCACTTAAAGAAGACTCTACTAATCCCAACATGGAATTAACTTTTTGTGACGTTTATCCCTTAAACAGAGTAGAATTGAGGTACAGCGAGAGTTGTTATAAATATCACTAGAAATCTAAGACGATAATTACACTTGGAGGATAAGGCAACAAGTATAAATATATATATATATCTATGTGTGTGTGTGTGTGTGGATATGAATATATTTGTGAATAGTACTTGTCCTTACCCTTGTCCTTGTTTTTATCCTTTCCAAAAGGGTGGAGTTGCACAAAGGCAAATACTATTCACTCGAGAAGGTAGATTCCTAGAGTTCCTAGAAGGAGTTGTGGCTCCAGTATGTTCGACCTTATAGAAAGGGTTGTTCTTGGGTCTTTCTAAGGCCTTCTAGGATGATCCTTTCATGGTCTTGCTCATACGAGTTTGTTTCGGGTGTTGACTTCCTAAAGGAATTAGTTTTGCAAAGGGTTTGCCTATTGGAATCAACACTTTTTTTGAGGGCCTAAACTTAGCCTGGTTAACCTGTCATTGTTAAAATGTATTTCTACATCTGCATCATCGTATTGATTAATATTGCTAGGTTCTCGATTTTGGATAGGCTGAGGAGGAATTGCGTCCTGCAATCTCCATCTTTCAGGTAGAGTAACTTTATTCCACCTAATCATTTTGGGTACCACCATATGTGCTTTTCCTAAATTAGCTTGGAACAAAATAGTTTGTTCCTTACTATCCATAACTTTCGCTCGGGGTACAATGGTATTCATAACCTTGTATGAAATTAGATAAATTACAGCAAGGTTCTTTGATCCATGGTCCATATCATACCCTTGGGTGTCCACACTTAAGGTAAGGGTCTTTAAGGCTCCGGATTCGGATAACGACACTGAGAAGTTTGGGTAACAATTAAAATAAATTGACCCCTCGCTTAAAGAAGACTATTAATCCCAACATGGAATTAACAAAGTTTTTATGACGTTTATCCTTTAAATAAAGTAGAATCGAGGTACAGCGAGAGTTATAAATATCACTGGAAATCTAAGACGATATGGCAAGTACTATTTACTCCACTACTTGTCATTGCACTTGCCCTTGCTCTTATCTTTCCCAAAGTGTGGAGTTGCACAAGGCAAGTACTATCCAAAGTGAATAGTAAGGGCAACTTACATGCATTTGTCTTGCCCTTGTCCTCGTAAAACAGGTGGCTTGCTGTCTCTTCTATATTATTCAATATACGCCAAAATGTTGGTTCTAAATAACACTCTTCTTTTGTCTTTTGATACAATTAAAAATTAGAAAAATAATGAAAAGAGCTTTAAAACTTTGAATTTTAACTAAAATCTATGTAATAACTTTATTTGATGGTTAAGATAAAACCCAATATCAAACTAGTCCAATAAAATACACCCAAGCAAAGTAATTTATCGAGATTCCGATTTTACCCCTAGCGTCAATGGCCCGTTTATTTATGTCCGTCCCTTGGACTTGGAGGAGAAAAGCTTATTCACTTCGGTTGGCGCTTCCCAGCCCCCGTCATTCCATGAAATTTAATCCATTGCTGCTTCTGCTGTTCTGATCGCAAACCCCAATCCAAAACCCCTAAGCCCAAATCAGAATGGGTAGCGGAAGCAAAAGGAAGAGAAGAAAGCAATTTGGAGGTCTCAACCGAAGACAATAAATTACTTTGGTTGATTACATCTGATGTACATTCCCATACTTGTATTGATTTTGAACTGTTTTTGTGTTAAATTTGAATAATTAATTACTGGGTTTTGATTAATTTATAAATTTATACATATAGGAAAGGAAATGATTGTCATTTTCTGCTTCGATTTTCAACGAATAAACTTCTTTAGTAGTCTATAGATTTGAAAAATTAGTATTGAAATAAATGGCTATGCAGTTAGACAATGGGGTTTTGCCTATTTATGGGTCTTTAATTTTTTATTTTATTTTATTTTTTAATGTTCAATTGTCAAAAGAAATTAGAAAACATGAGCAGAACAAATGATGTCCTATAGCCATTAGAATTGCAATTGAACCATATATTAGAATTTATTATAGGATCCAAAATTAAGGTGATAAATTTAATTTACCCTATTATTTATAATATGTTTCACGATACTTACTATTATTAATACATAATGAAGAAGCCTATCTTACTCTTTGAATTTGAGAGATCATTGTGAGTAGACATCATAATCCAGATGTCACTAACGATGCTTTTGTATAACCACTCTGGATGTACATACAAATTTTATCAATCAATAAAATATTATTTCTTAACAATTTTGTGTATTATATTTCTATATACATATGCAGTAGTTGAGCATTAAAGCATTTATTGTTATTTTTTTATAAGTTAAATATCTTCCGGACAAAACCAACTTGTTGGGAGAGAGAAATAATGCCAACGTAATATTCATTGCGACAAACACATTGGTTGAAGGATAAAGAAAAAACCACATATGGCTAAAAAGCATTATTTGTTGGCTAGAAAGCCTTGTACAGATGAAAATATTTGTTGGGAAAAATAGAAATCCCAACAAAATAGAGTCTATCGAAAATGTTGAACCTAAGCCTACGAAGTACCAAAATTCGTCTAGAAAACTGTTGCGCGACGTGCTTCGAGCGAGGAAATGGCCGACAAATTTAGACTTTTGTCGACAGTTTTGACTTTTGCCAACAAACTAATTTTGTTGGTAAAGTTAAAAATCCTAGTCCAATAATGAGCCGGTTTTCTTGTGAAAGTAGTTACCACTATTTATATAGTCAAACAATCTCTTTGATTCTTCTATTAGAATCTTTGTAGGAAACCAACATTGTCCCTCATTTTTAATATAAGTGAGTAGATTAGGATTGAATCTCAGTTTCAATTGTATAAACTAAGACATCCAAGCCTCTTCCAAAAAGACTTTTCTAAACCAATTTAAACTCAACTATCTAGCCAAAAATACACTTGTAGTTATGCTCATATTCCAACATGATATTCAAACACAATGATTGAATACCTTTTTTCTTCCCCATAATATCAATAGTAACATCTTAATTATAAGTTCAATCACAGATTTATACCATTGCAGATTGAATCTTCTTTAGGGCTCATCTGGAATAGAGTATAAAATTTGAGAAAATTAATGAAGCAGAAAGAATTTTGTCAAATAAGTGTAGGCTTGTAAATTTCGTTGCACGCAAATGATGCATCACAAAGCTCCACGTAGCATATAACTTATCACAAATGAACAAGTCATCAATGACATGTGGCACAAATCAAGCACAGGAAGTACACAACCTTCCCAAAATTCGGCACAAGGGAGAAAGTATCCCTTAAAATCGGCAAATATGCCCAAAATCTCTTAAAATCTGAAAGAAAACCAAAGCATCTTCACAAAATAAGCAAGAATTGAAGATTGCTCACAAATACGCAACAAGGCCTATAAATTTTGGCCAATATGAGGAAGGTGGCTAAAATTAAGACACAAAGCATGCCTAAACTATCCCATGGACGAATCAAGACACAAATCAAAGCTAAATCCATCCAAAGGCAAGCTTTGAGAAGCATATAAATACAAGGTCCTCCCACAAGCTAAGGGTCAGAAATTGCACATTGAGAAGAACCTCTGCACAAATCTTTGAAGACTAATATGCCGCCAAAGCTCTCTTCGAAGAATGTTCAATTAAAGCCGAAGCACTCCTTTGAAGAATCAAGAAGCATTCATGCCGATTCCTTCAAGACTTTGTTTCAAACTCGAAACTTGTAATAACGTTCTTTTCAAGATCAAGTCGCCAAGACCCTTGAATCAACGAAATCCTTCATCAACATTATCTTTTGCTGCAGCCTAGAGGTGAAGACCATCCACGCATTGTTTCAAGCTCAAAACTTGAAGCAATCGTTCAATCTTTCGTCCAAGATCAAGTCACCGTGACCCTTGGATCAACAACCTATGCATCAACATCAAATTTAAAGACTGAATCAGAGGAAAATTGTAAACAGAGATTGTAACCTACAAATTCAAATCACTACAAATCTACTTTGTGTTTACAAATTTGGCATGCTCGGTAGGACATCTTTGCCTCTCATCTTTGTCTTCAAATCCACGAGAAACACACATGACATCAAGAAATGATCAAGTTGTTCCCGCTACCAACATGAAGAATAAGGGCATCCTGGCTGCAAGTGGTGGAACTTTGGGTGTCGCAACCCGAAGTAAGGCAAGAACTCTCCCTGCCGTGCTTTCCACCCCTGCATCAACTTTGCTGAATGAGCAAGAGCACCCGAGACATGAGCCTGTGATTACCTTGGCCTTGCTAAGGGCATCAAGGGAAAAAAGCCCGATGAGGTACCCCAAGTCTTTGACTTCTGATGCCGACTCAAGCAGGTCGTGTCTTATAGCTATACAAGTCATGCCTACTGGCGCGACTTCCATTGTGGAGCAGTTAGCTCAAATGAGCGAATCAATTGTAAGGCTGACAAGGACCGTAGAGGAGAAGGACTTGGAACTTGCCACACTTTTCAATCACCTAAAGGTGCAACACGACGACAAAGCTAACCTAAAGGTTGATATGCCAAAAGAGGAAACCGATGAAAAAGATGAGCCTCTGTTGGAGCAAGCCGAGGAAAATCTGGACCAAGCAACAACGTTCATGGGATCTCTCTCCTTCCAGTAGTTGCAGCAGATGATCACTATCACCATCAAGAAGTAGTACAAAGGAAGTTCGCTTGACTCCGTGCTGTACTTAAAGCCCTACTCCAAGAAGATTGACACCTTGATGATGCCAAAGGGTTATCAGCTGCCAAAGTTCATGCAATTCGATGGAAAAGGCAATCATAAACAACATGTTGCCTATTTTATTGAAACTTGCAACAATGTTGGTATGGAGGGAGACTACCTTGCCAAGCAATTCGTGTACTCACTGAAAGGTAATGCCACTTTGACTGGTACACCGACCTTGAGCCCAAATCCATCAACAGCTAGGACCAGCTTGAAAGGGAATTCCTCGACCACTTCTACAGCACTCGTCACACCGTAAGCATGCTGTAGCTGACGAGTATGAAGCAATGGAAGGATGAACCGGTTGTTAGCTACATTAACAAATGACGTTCATTAAGTATGGATTGCAAGTATTGGCTTTCTGAAACCTCTGCCATTAAGATGTGTGTTCAAGGCATGCATTGGAGATTACATTACATCCTCAAAGGCATAAAACCGATGACATTTGAGGAGCTGGCAACTCGTTCCCATGACATGGAGCTGAGTATTACCAACCATGGCAAGAAGGAGCAAATCACTGAATTCAAGAAAGACAATGTGTTTGCTCAAAAGGTAGATGAGACTGGGAAGAAGCCCGACAATGAAGCCTTTACCGTTAACTCTACCCTCCATCAAGACCTTCTCTGTGCTCGTCAAAGTTGCCACAAAAACAAGTACTACCCTATTCCTTCTAACTCAACGAGATATGCTCCAACAACGTCACTGAGTACCAAGTGCTGATCATTAGACTCTAAATGGCGATTGACATGGAAATCACAACACTAGAAATATATGGTGACTCCAAGCTCATAATCAATCAACTTTTGACTGAATATGAAGTAAAGAAAGATGATCTCGTCCCATACTTCCGGCTAGTAACTCAATTGCTACAAAAGTTCGAGGCCGTGACGTTAGAACATGTGCCAAGAAAAGAAAATCAAATGGCGGACTCTTTCGTTAACTTAGACTTAAGTATGGCGCTAGGAGAAGATGAAGCTCCGGACGTACCAGTTTGGCAAAGATGGGTGATCCCGCTTGTCACTGAAATGCTACTAGATGATACAAACGTCATCTCAATACTTCCAGTCGACACTAAAGAGTAGAGACACCTGCTGATCGACTACTTGGAGCATGGAAAGTTTTCAGACGATCCTAGAAACCTCTCTAAAATACGTCGACGAACACCTTGCTTCCTCTACTACAAAGCTACACTCTACCGACGCTCTTTTGAAAGAGCACTTCTAAGATGCCTAGGTGAGGAAAAAGCCAATCAAACCATGGAAGAAGCATACTCAGGTGTATGTGGAGCGCATCAGTCTGGACCAAAGCTACATTTCCAGCTTAAAAGAATGGTTTACTATTGGCCAAGCATGGTGAAAGATTGCCTAGAGTATGCCAAAAGGTGCCAAGCCTGCCAATTCTATACCAACTTCATACATCAACCACCTAAACCATTACACCTTACAATTGCTTTATGGCCGTTTGATGCATGTGGATTAGACATCGTAGGACCAATCACACCAAAGCCATCTACAGAAGAAGCTTACATCCTAGCCGTAGCAGATTACTTTTCCAAGTGGCTAAAGCGTACCCCTAAAGGAAGTCAAGAAGGAAACCATCGTCCATTTTATCAAGGAGCATATTATCCACCGATATGGTGTGCCTCGCTACATCATCACCAACAACAGAAAATAGTTCTCCAATAGACTCATGGACGAGCTCTGCGAGAAATACAAATTTAAGCAACACAAGTCTTCCATGTATGATGCTCCGACCAACGATTTTACGAAAGCATCCAACCAAACGCTATGCAACCTCCTAAAAAAGGGAATCAGCCGAACAAAGAGAGACTGGCATGAAAGAATAAGTGAAGCACTTTGGACATATAGGACGACATATAGGAATCCTACCCATGCTATGCCTTATTCTCTCGTATATAGCATGGAAGTTGTTCTGCCGCTCGAAAGTCAAATCACCTCACTAAGGATGGCTATACAAGAAGGCTTGACTGAAGAGGAAAATGCAAAGTTACGACTTCAAGAATTGGAAGCACTCGACGAAAGGAGGCTCGAAGCTCAAAAACACTTGGAATGCTACCAAGTACGGCTATCCAAGGCAATCAACAAGAGGACCCCTTCAAAATGTAATGAGAGTAAGGAGAACACCAGTGGTGATGAGTGGGCTTGGCAATGAAGCTTTCATCCTCTGGATTTTGGGTGATGGTTTATTTACAGCAGTTTTACCTATGGTGTAATAATGGCATATCGCACTTTTGATTATGCATGACACTGCACTTTGTGTGTTTACTATTATGTACTTGCTAAACCCAATTGCAAGTGTCGCGTAGCTGTATAAAATCGAAGTTCAAGTGTCGTATTCCTCAGAAAGCGTTAAAAAAATGTAGAATTTTTCGAAACTTAAACAAAGAATAATTTCAAATAAAATGTAATTTTTAAAAAGAAAATCCAATAATATGAGAGCACTAAGACATTAGAGTTCCACCTTCAATGTACATATGTAATTTCATTAATTTGATTCTTTTATAACTCAATCAAGAAGCAACATACAGTGCACCCGATTGGATGATATGGCAATTATAATTGTATACAAAAACACACAAAAATATACAAACTCTAACTATGGTTGTTCCCAATAAACTCAATTGAATTCCTTATAGGAAGAAATCCAACCATAACCTGTACCTCTGGCGCAAACTATCAAGCAATACTTCCGTTGAAATTACTAGATATATACTAATTTATCTCAATTCATAAAAGCATGAATGCTAAAATCAAACTATAGGAAAAACATGATTGAACCTATGAATAGTAACTAACACTCATCAATCGACAAATAGAGAAAAACTAGATATTAATTTGAACAAACCAATAACAAGAGTTTATTGTTGATACCGCAATTCGAATCAAACTAATAAAGAATCAAACTAATAAAACTACATAGTAGTTAAAGGTTTTCCACCTAGCCTTAGCTAGGGAGATTAGTTGCGCATAAGAGAAAGTTCACCCCTAAAAAAATGCACCAACACCCAGCCCATTTAATTCACTCAGTGAACAGTGATAGACCCCAATGAACATTAATTGGCCAAATGTATCTCCACCCCTAAAACTAAATAGCCTAGTCAATTTTATTAAAGTATTATAAATTTTTATTATAAAATAATAATTTGACTTTTATTTTCTGACTTTTTAATAAAATAAAATAATAATATTATTATTAAAATATTTTTAATTTTTGCATCTCCACACCTCTTCCTCGTCACCACCACCGTCCACCCCTGCACTTCCCTTCCATTCTCACCGCCGCCTCCAAACCTCCTCTGACGCTGTCACCTTCCCGCCTTTCAAATCCAAAGCAGACCTTAACAACAAGCTCCTCTACACCCTTAACAAGCGCTTCGACTGCTACATCTCCGCACCTCCTGTCCATCAAATATTTTTAATTTCTGCATCTCCACACCTCTTCATCATACGTTTAGTCCTCTCGTCTTTCTCCCTCCGCGGCTCCTTCCTTCCCGACACCCTCTCCTGCCTCAACCAGCTCCACTCCTCAGCCCTCCACAACAACTCCCTCTCTAGTGCAAAAAATAAAATAAAATAAAATAAAAAAAAAAAAAAAAAAAAAAGGTCGTCAACGTCACGCTGGCATCAGCATGACGTCAGATGGGCTATCCCTTTACTTTGTTGATTCTAGGCCAGCCTGTGGCCTAGCTTGGGCTGGGTGCCAGCCTATTAGGCTAAGGTGGAGCAGAAAAAGGGGATGCCTGTCCATTTTTTGGCCTGAATGGCTGGGGTGGAAATACTCTAACAATATAGAAAAGTAAGAAACTCTAAAAGTTATGAAAGGACAAAACTGCTCAAAAACATACAAATGGGAATGGTTATATTAAGACTGCCGCAGCCAACCCCCGTAAACCTCTTGACTAATGGTCATTTATGTCAACCCATTATTGAGCCAATTATATCTCAGTCGTTCCTTGTTCTTTGCCTTTCCATGTCGGTTTTATTTTCTTTCCATAACTGACAAGCTTAATCACCAATTTATTATCCTTGCCTCTTGGGTTAACTTGTTGCAGCCCCATCTTCCTTTCTTCATCTCACTGTTTAACTTCTAAAAATTTCTAATAAGTGACCTGACAAAGAGATAAAGATAAAATGAATATCAAACCACACGTATATTGCAAACCGAAAAAAGTGAACTATATACTTCAACCAATGTCATAAGGCGCTCAAATTAAATTAGACCTATAGGAAATGTGCCCTAAAGCCAATTATATGAGGATACTTTACGGACAAAGGGCAAAGATTATTGTTTAAAACCATCTCATATAAGCGTTATATGCTTAAACAATAAGTCCAAAAAATACGTAATTGGGAGAATGTGATCTAAAGAAGTTAGATTCATGAGATCATTCTCTTTCGTATACATATCCTAAACGTTCCTGATCATAGGATTGCCAATTCAGCATTGACAGTCCATTAAGATCAATATGTGTTATGTCTTCTCTTAAAGAGACTGACTGGTCTCGAGTCATTGATGTGATTGACACCAAGACAAGCATGTAGGTGGTCAATAGAGAATGAGTCCACTGAACGCGATCAACAACGAGTTCTCATACTCATGTCACATAAGAACTCATGGTTGGGATAATGCAAAGTAGTCCTTTGACCTGAGGCATCATAGTTGTCTTATGGTTAGATCCTTGATCTTTGACTATGTCAAAGTCACTCTGTCAAACCGTGTCCATGGCATAGTTGGGGTTAAGCCACTTAGCCATGGAAGCAAGTGAATTCACAACAAGGAATCTCTAACCTTCAAACCGTTTGAGGGAGAATACTCTATGATATGCTTAAGATTCTCTAGCCAGACTATGAATGAGATTTAGAAAGTCATTCCAAATCACATTCAAGGTAATCATATAAGTAAGAGAATCACATTGGATAGTATACATGAATAAACCATCAAATCAAACAATGTGGTCAAGAATATTGTATTAGAGAAAGACCGTATTGCATTGTAATCCCAAACTAAATAGGTTCTCCACCTCTTCTGCTTAGCTTAGGTAGCCATGACATATTGTTAGGTGTCACTCATGGTTTGTGGAAGCCCTAAAGGTGTATCATCACTAAAGGGAGAATTGAAAACTAAGTTTTAATTCACAATCAATTTGAAGAGTTCTAATCACCCACTGGCTCGCTAAAATGAACCTAATGGATCGTACACCATGTAAGGTAGAGAGTGACGAAACAACAGAGATGAGTATGGATAATTAAATGGTTTAATTATTTATGTTTAGGATTAATTAATATGTTAATTAATCAAACGAATAACGTCGTTTTAGACCTTGAGATAGCTTTAGGCCTCAAGGCCCAATGGGCTTCGAATGTCAAGTCCAATAACTCAAGTTGTATGACAACTTGAAAACACAAAAGGCATGAAAGCTCAATGAACCCACATGGCCGGCCATGGAGAGTGTGAGGGAGAATTGGTTTTAATTTCAATTATGCCGCTCAATGTAACTGGCTATAAAAAGGAAATTATAACCTATTCCCTCATAAATATTTTCAAGAGAGAAAAGAGACAAACAAAAAGGCTCTCTCTTCTCTTTGGAGGCCGGCCACCCTAGGAAGAATGCACTAGCATCCATTTCTTCCTAGGTCACTCATCTCTTCCTCAATGCTCTCCTTGGTGTGGAAACTTAGTGATAGGATTAAAAGCACACCACAAAGTAGCACACAAATGTCCTATTAATTTTCCTTATTAACAATAATATTTGTCAATCGTAGCATATGAAAATAAGGGTCTTTCCCGCAGAAGATTGTTTTATCTAACTACTTAAAATGTCACAAAAACTGGGCTGCTGTCCCTACTGACCAGCCACCGAAAAATAATTATTAGACTGACTTACACTTATCTAAAGTCTACGAAATTTTATATGCAGATCCTAGACACACTGAGCTACACTCACACAAATTTTTGGGATTTTTGGAGTTGATTTGATATTTAAATTAAATCGAACAAAAACAAGACAGAGACAGATTTTTAAGTAGTTCACAAATTAAGAAAAACGAGTTAGGGGAATTGCAATCCACCACCAAATAATCATGCAAACATGTTATGTTTCATTCAAATTCCTTTCATTTTTGGATTCTGCAATGCTCCACGCTATGGCGGTTTTGTGATCCTTCAGTACCCGGATCAGTTTCTCCCCTTCTACTGTGAGTTGTGATGATATGATGACCAGTAATGTTTCATCCTCTCCCAAAAAAGCATACTTCAAATGTTCAGGAATCGGTTTAAGCTCCAATTTGGGTGCCTGAATCACAGAAGGAAGAATTTTTTCGTTAGAAGTAGGAAGAGAAATAAAATGGGAAGAAAACTTACCATGAATTGGTGAAAGAGACTCAAGGGCTACCACTGTCTGGATTAATTCTTCTTCAATGTGCTCGGAATAATTAAGTTTTCCATGTGTAATGCTATGCACTAACGCCTTCTCTAAATTGTCTTGTCCTACACCTTCATTAAAACAATCCTGCACAAAATAGTCAAACGCATCAATAGACAAACAAGATTCAAAATCACTACGGTACCTCATAGCATTGAAGATTTTGAACTTGACGTTTTCTCCATCAATTTCCATGGTTAAAGTACCATCGTAGACATCAATCTTTGTACGCGCCGTTCTAAGGAATGGTCTTCCCAATATAAGAGGAAGTGCAGTAGGCATAGGGTCATGTTCCATCTCAAGGACAAAAAAATCAACGGGAAAAATAAGTTCATTCACTTGCACAAGTACATCCTCCAATAGGCCTTTGGGATATCTATTTGAACGATCTGCCAACTGGATTACTACCTTTGTTTCCTTCAAGTCTCCAAGGTTTAGTGATTCATACACTGAATATGGCATCAGATTGATGGATGCCCCCAGATCGCACAATGCTCTTCCAAACTCTTTCCCTCCAATTACACATGGAATGGTAAAGCTACCGGCATCCTTCAACTTTGGTGGTAGCTTTCTCTGCAAAACAGCTGATACTTCCTCGCTTAATGCCACAGTTTCTTGATTATTGAATCTTCTCTTGTTCGTACAAAGCTCTTTAAGGAACTTTGCATACTTGGGCACTTGTTTTATGGCATCTAAAAGAGGTAAGTTCACTTGGACTTGTCGGAAAATATCCAAGATTTCCTTATCAGTTTGCTCCTTCTTAGACTTCATAAACCTACGAGGAAAAGGAATAGGGACACATGAGTTAAATGAATTTTGAACTTCTTTACTTACCTTATCATAATCTTTTTTGTTCAATTCTGTATCTTTAGGAGACTTTTCAGTTTCTGTTGAAGCCTCATCTTGCTCAAGATTTTTGGTTTGTTGCTCCCCTTGCTCATTTGTATCTTTTCTAGTCCACTTTTGCATCCTTGGCTGCTCAAAAACTTCTTTTCCACTCCTTAAAGTCACAACATTCATCTGCTCCGCATTTGGATTCACCACGGTTTGGCTAGGCAACCTTCCTGGTTGATGTTGTTGCCCCATCAAACTTGCTAACTGACTCATTTGGTGCTCAAGGTTTTCAATTGCTTTGTATGTTTTCTGTTAATGAGATTGAGTAGAGTTAGCTAAAGAAGCAATTAAATCCTCAAGAGACTTACTTGGAGCTTGTTGTTGTTGAGGCTGAAACGGTGCCTGCGCTCTTGCTTGAAAGAAGCCAGGTGGACGGTTATAGTTGTTGGGAACAGATTGTTGTTCGTTGTCTTGATTGTTCCACTTTAAGTGTGGATGATTGCGCCACCCTGCGTTATAGTTGTTGGAGTATGGATCATACTTTTGTATTTGTTGCCCCTGAAACCCTCCTAACGCATTAGCTTGCTCAAGACCACCTTGATCCATTAACGAAGGGCACATATCCATGGCATGTCCCATTATTGAACAAACACCGCACACCTGTTTTGGAGGCACCATAACCTGTTGCACAAGATTAGTCAAGTTAGCTAATTGTAATTCAATACTAGAGTTAGCACTTACTTCGTTAACTTTCTTAAGAGGTAGCTCATCTCTCCCTCCAAATTGTCGTGTGTTGCCAGCAATGTTCTTTAATAATGCCTTAGCATTTATTGGTGTCTTGTCCATGAATGCTCCTCCACTTGCTGCATCAAGCATTACACGATCAGTACCATATAATCCTTCATAAAAATATTGTATTAAAAGATGCTCTGAAATTTGATGATTAGGACAAGATGCAACCAAATGTGTGAATCGCTCAAAGTAATCTCCAAAGGGCTCTCCATGTTGTTGTCGGATTGCACATATGTCTTTCCTTATGCTTACAGCTTTTGTGGCCGGAAAATATTGCTCCAAGACTGCTTGCTTCACCTGGTTCCATGTGTTCATTGATCCTGGAGGTAAATTATAAAGCCACTCCTTTGCCTTAGCTTCTAACGTAAATGGGAATGCCCTCAACTTGACTTGCTCCTCATCCACATTGGCTGGTCTCATTCCCGAGCATACCACATGAAACTCCATGAGATGCTTGTTGGCATCCTCTGTTGAGAAGCCATGGAACTTAGGCAAGTAGTGAATCATGCCGGACTTAAGCTCAAATCCTCCTCCTGCATTTGGATATGTGATGCACAATGGTTGTTGATCCGTATTAGGCGTTGCCAACTCCCTCAAAGTCCGGTTATCAGCCATGCCTTCTTGTGGTTCTTCCTCCTCTTCCGAACTCAAATGTGGTGGAGAAGATGGTGGTAAAGACACCGATGCACGCTTTTGCTTGATTGTTCCTCGAAGCTTTCGAAATGTTCGTTCAACCTCAGGATCGTAGGACTCTAGATCAATGCTTTTGGACCTTCGAGTATGCATATACTACGAAGAGTACCTGAAATAAAAACGAGAACAAAAACACTAATTAGACAAGAAAAGAAAACAATAAATAAAAAAAAAATAAGCAATTAGAAATAACAATCCCCGGCGACACGGCGCCAAAAATTTGATAGGATTAAAAGCACACCACAAAGTAGCACACAAATGTCCTATTAATTTTCCTTATTAACAATAATATTTGTCAATCGTAGCATATGAAAATAAGGGTCTTTCCCGCAGAAGATTGTTTTATCTAACTACTTAAAATGTCACAAAAACTAGGCTGCTGTCCCTACTGACCAGTCACCGAAAAATAATTATTAGACTGACTTACACTTATCTAAAGTCTACGAAATTTTATATGCAGATCCTAGACACACTGAGCTACACTGACACAACTTTTTGGGATTTTTGGAGTTGATTTGATATTTAAATTAAATCGAACAAAAACAAGACAGAGACAGATTTTTAAGTAGTTCACAAATTAAGAAAAACGAGTTAGGGGAATTGCTATCCACCACCAAATAATCATGCAAACATGTTATGTTTCATTCAAATTCCTTTCATTTTTGGATGAAGATGCTCAAGTTGGCTCAATGTTAGAACTCAACCTATTACTCTTTCTTATGTAGTATGTTAAGAGAATGGCGTTTTCAACTTAACTTAGTCCCTAACATGCAATCTCGAATGGTGTGTTCATAGATTTAACAAGTAGAAATCATTAAGAACGAAAAGAGTTTGAGTCATCACAAGGCATCGTAAGTACTAGCGTTGTCTTGCTTATCCTAGAAATTGATTCACATGTTAATCGCAATTAACAAGTACTACTCTAGAACATATGTAGGTCCTCATTCGACAAGGGCAGGCACACACATATTCATAGCATTAGAATCCTAGATATGCTTACTAAGTATGCATCCATAGAAAACACATAAAGAATTCATCAATGAGACATGTAGTGAACCAATTTTCATCCATTCGTAAAAGTAATTCAAACGAAATGTCATAACAAACTTGCAATCATATTAGGGGCTTCAAAACAGCCCCTAACTACTAAAAATTAGTTACACATAATTCTCAAATTAAACCAAAAGAACGACATGAGTTGAGAAGATAAAACCGAGAGAAGAGAATGCCAAGATTTCCTCCTTCCTTTCCTTCCTTCCCCAACGCAGCAGCCTTGCCTTTTTCCCTTGCTTTGCTTCTTTTTTTTTCTATCTTTTTTTCACCCTTTTTCTCCCCTCCTTGTTGCTGCAACCTGTAGGTATTTTCTTCTTTTCTGCTGCCACAGTTTTTTTCTCCATAACTCACCCCACTAACAGCCATTTAGTGATGACAATAAGTGGGAGGAAATGCTAAAACAATTGTAACTCTTTGGGCAGCCTTTATGCCCATTACTCTCACTTAATTTTTCAGTTCCTCTGATATTTGAATAGGTGTTAGCTGGCTTGTTCTTGGCTGCATCAGTTTTGGCTGTTAGTTTTATGGGATTTATTGCTTTCAATGCTTCTTTGTCAGTTACAAACTGCTCAGCCTCCTGGGAACCTTTCAGTGTTTGAACGGCCATAACTTCTTCTAGAAAACTGATATTAACAATCCGCGAAATGCTCCAGAAAATAGACATCCGTAGCTTTCCAAGAATATAAGGCTCATTCTCTAATTCATTCTGAGCTGTCCGCAACTTGCTTCCAAAGTCAGCTGACCTGCACAGGCAGTTTTGACTAATTTATTACTTAACATTCCACTTGTTTATTTTTCTTTTCTTTACTTGACAAATCCTACAAAACACAAAAACAAGGTAAATAACTCAAAAATATAAGGAACTAACTAAGAAAAGACAAGTGAATTTGATATAAAATATATATAAATATAAGCTTATCACTTAGAGGTTCCCTTTCTCGGGAACTTGAAGAATCCATTCCTTCATCCATATCCAAGAAGTCATGGAGCTACGAAGAAACGTTCCTCCATCAACATCCATGGAGCCAAGGAGCAAGGTGATTATGGAAAGAAGGCCCTTCACATAGGTGAATATCCTTTGCTAAGCAAAGAGGTGCTTTAAAGGTATAAAAGTTTCTCAACTCATTTCTTTAAGATTTGAGTTGAGTCTTGGTTCACCACAACTACTAGGCCTTGAATTTCATGGGTAAAGTTTTGTTTTCGAGTGCATACAAGCATGATTCCGCCTTTAATTGTTAATTGCATGCATAGATGTTGCTCAAATGAACTTGTTTTTCATAAATTTTCCTTCAAGTGGTATCAGAGCCTAGGTCAAGTAGTTGGTGAACCCTTTTGGGTTTTGTAGTTCATAGTAATTGATTTGAATGTTGTAATTGTTACAAGCTTTATTCTTGCTTCGTTGAATGTAAATTTTGTTTGAAAAATTGCCATCTCAAATGTTGAAGACGTAGTTCATATGAGCATGAATTTTGGAGCTAAAATTTGGTGCCATGTTTATGGGGAAATTCGGCCTAATTCAAGGGGTGGATTTTTGGTTTCATGTTTGTCTTGTTAAAAGTCTTTTAAAGTGAATTTTGGAATCCCTAAGTACCCTAGGATGTTAACCCTCTATTCAGTAGTGAAAATTTGAGTTTTATTGAGTGAAAACGTTCATGGAGCTTTTATGGGTTTTCATGGATGCTCTTCAATGTTCTTGCTTTGTTCTTGTTTTTCATACCAAGAACCAAAAGGTTTGTTGTTTTGATTCAAAAAGGGTGTTTTGTTGTTTATTTGTTTTTGTTATTGATGGATGGTATGATTTTTCAAACAACACCCGTACTTTTTACTATTCACACTGTACCAATCACTTACAACTTTCGATCACCTTTCAAACACACAAATCAACTCACACACACGATCACTACTCACCTTGACCGGCCACCCCTATAATGTTTTTGTTTGGGGGGGGGGGGGGGGGGGTACTATTAGGGCTTTTATGGAATTACTTAAAGTTTTGATACTTTTGTGTATTAGCACTTTGACCCAAAAGTTTACGTTTTTTACGTAAAGGCCCAAAATCACTAAAGGACAAATTGTTTTGCTCCTTTAATGAAGTTTTTGTATTTGTTGAAAATTTTGGGTTCTAGTTGTAATTACATGAAGTGGTGGACTTTTGTGTTTTTACAAAGTGACCACAAAAAGTTTGTATTTTGCAATATAGCCCAAAAGTTGAGAGTATTGCATTTTGGCCCAAATTAGTTAAGAACAAAATAGTTTTGTCTCTTTAAATGAGAATTGGATTTTCATTTCATTTAACTCCATTTAAATCAATTCTATGGATACAAAAACCAAATTATAATGTTGCATTTAATTTTAATTAGTTAAAGCGTTAATTAATTAAAGAAAGGGTGATTATGAACTTAGGCCTGCGATAATTGAGCTATGTAAAAGGCCGTCTCGCAAATTTGTTTGAACCATGAGAATGTGTAAATTAGATTTTGGTTGTAATTGGATATGATCAAATGTTGTAAAAGAGCATAAGCTCTTATTTACTTTGAAGTACTCATTTCTTGTTTCATTTTATATGCATGAAATTGGAGTAGTAGGGTCCAATGCCCAATAAGAAAACACGCCTTAATGTGATTAAACATGTAACTAAAATCAATCACCATCCCTAGACCGAGATCCAACACTAGGCTCATGTTGGATCGAATCAAAGGTTCATAGTCATCCTAAGGCCTTAAGGCAACTATATAGTTCATCAATGAATGCAAAGCTTATGTTAGTAGTACCATATACTCTTGCTTTAAAAAATAGTTTTACAAGCATAGTGGGAGTATCATATACTACTAAATCAATCACATGGACCAATAGTTGTAATAGGACCAAATTGTTTTAATGAGATTAAAATGCATGCTTGTATGTGATGAGACCTAAAAACCCTCAACCAAACCGTTATTAAGTTGACAAGCGTGAAAGTGCTTTGAGCACTCTTTCGTGGCCTTCCACCATGGTAGGCTTCGATCATTTGTGACTCATACACTAACTTCACCCTATCATATGGGAGTACAAAGTATGTGCTTACACTCATGAGGAGTTCTATATGCATACATGATGGTGTGAAGCTAGGCAACGAGAATGATCAACATCATGTCATTGTGAGGTTGTTTTTGAACCCCTACCCGATCTTGCATAGTGGGAATGACTTAACTAAGAGCAATGGAGCCAACATCATATCATTGTGACGCATTATTCTCTAGAGGCCAAAGAATATAGGTACTTACATGAGATGTAAATAAGCAAGTGCACTCTCTCATTATTATTGATACTAGCCAACATCATATCATTGTTAGGTGGGCTTGGTAATAGTGAGCCTCCCATACCCTACTAAGAGTTTCCTCCAAAACTCTCGAATTCCAATGAGGGATATGGAATTTGCCAAAAATAATGGGTTGTGCTATTTGATTTAAAGACCCAAATCAAATAGCTTAAAATAAATCAATTTATATTCGCTATGTATTTGTTTACTGATATATTTGCAAATGATATCCAAAACTTGAAAAAGAAAAGCCAAAGGCTTTAGTTTCCGGACTTGGTACCACAATCTCATAGATTGTCTTGAATGGATTGTATATGTACCTAAGTATTCTCATCCTCACAATCTTCCTATTGATAATGTATCATTGGAAGAATAT